TGAGAACCATTTGATCCGTATCTGCTCTCTTCCGTCCATAGAAACTAATGGGAAGCTGCTGTTCCGCCTTCGACCACTAGAGGAGGATATTTTGTTTCTTTTTTTCTTAGGTCAAGAAAGGTTCAGGGAAGGCAGGGAAAATACAGTCCAGGCAGTTCAGTACCAGGCAGTCTGAAGACCGTCTCCCAATCCACTCTCTAAACGCTGGGAGGAGTGAGGAAGCAGACAGGCACCCTTTTCACTGGCCAACAGTTAACTGAAAGTTCAAATTTTGCACTTTCCCTGCCTCCCACGTGGGTTTTTTTCAGTTTGTAACTCAAATCTAAGTATGTAAGTCAAGTCAATATTTTCCTATGAGAGTGGTTCTTAAGTCAAAATGTTCTTAACTCGGGCCGTTCTTAAGTCAAGACCCCATTGTAAAAGGCTTAAATCAGAAAGAGCAGGAAAGCTGAAGAGGACAGAGCTGCTGTTGCCACTTAGACTGTTAGGCCCTTAACAACTTTAAGAGCCTAACAGGGGAACTCTAGGTGAGAGTGACCATGTCCTTCTAGAATTCTTGATTTCAAAGGAAACGAAAGCAGAGTGTAGCCACACACTTCTGCTGCATTTTTAAAAACCCAACTTTAATAATCTCAGAAGAAGGATAAGTAAGGTCCCATGGCAGGAGATCCTAACTAGAAAAGGAGTCCAAGAAGGGTGGGAGATTCTTAAAAAAGAAATCCTAAAGGCACAACTACAAACAATTCTAACAAGAAAAAAAAAAGGGGGGTGGAAAGTTGCAAAAAAGGCCAGTGTGGCTTCATGGAAAGCTCAGGGAGGACCTAAAAACCAAAAGAGACATGTACAGGAAGTGGAAAGAAGGCCAGGCCACCAAGGATGAGTACAGACAAGTAGCAAGGAAATGCTAGGATGGCATTAGGAGGGCAAAAGCTGAGAATGAGCTGAGGTTAGCTAGAGACACTAAAAGAAATAAAAAAGCATTCTTCAGGTATGTGAGTAGCAAAAGGCAAACAAAAGACATAGTGGCACAGCCCTCCAATGGAGATGGAAAAATGGTAACAGAGGACGAAGAAAAGGCAGAGGTGCTCAATTCCTATTTTAGTTCTGTCTTTTCCCATAAGACAGACCATGAACTTCCAAACAAATTGGAAGTACAAGGAGGGGGGAGGAACAGGACTGCAGCTGGAGATAGATAAACAAATAGTCAAGGAATCCCAGGCATTGAACAGGGGGTTGGACTTGATTGCCTTGTAGGCCTCTTTCCACTTAGCTTTTCTATGATTATATAATAGTAACATACATTAAAAATTCTGCTTGCTTATGAAGGTTCCATTGCTTCCAAAACATACTGAGCACCTAAATCCAGCTACTTAATACAACTTAAGGATATTAGAAAGTTTTTTGGAAAAAAAAATACAGTTCATTCACAGAGTTGAACTGCATGAAAAATATCCTTTCAGAGGCATTAACTGTGAGAGGAAAAATCCAGTCTTTAAAATAAAATTATCTATTTTGGAAAGAATCCTAGCAGTTACCTCAGTGCTATTAAGCTCATTGGAGTTTAAGGCAAATTACAGCATTAGAATGAGCAGGAAATTAAGTAACTGAAGAACTATCACCCATGATGAAACATTTGCTCCCCAAACATGCCAGCCATTTGGGCACAGACTTGCTAAATGGAGGTCATACACTTCTTAGCTACAGCTGTGCAAGATTATTAGGGCTAGCGAAGAACTTTCAGAACTGCCAAAGTTAACCGGGCCTTCTGTCCAGACAAGAAAACAACAGGAATAATCTCTGAAGCAACAAAATCATACGTATTTCCCTAAGCTTCTTACATGCAGATGCAGAGGCACTTGGGGGGGGGGAGGCTCTTATTGGGTTTTCATGCAAGAGGAACAGAGAAAGCTGCAGCTGTTAATGGGGGAGGTGCTGGTGTCATGAATAACTGTAGAATAATAACCTTAGAATTGCAGAGCTGGAAGGGACTCTATGGATCATGTCCAGTCTCTGTCCAGTAGGCACAGTGGGAAATCAACAAACTCCCAACTTCAGGCTCTGAAGCCAGATACTTAAACCACTGAGCTAACCAGCAGTCAAGTTAGCCACGCGTCTAGCACATGTCCAGCACTTCATCATTAGCTGAAATTTACCACAGAAACGTCCACAATTCCTCTTGTGGACATGTAAATACTCAAGGGGATTTTATCCCTGGGGTTAACAAACAGGCACCATTTGCTGATACTGAAATACTGTCAGTAATTTTCTGTCTAATGTACCAAAATGCTTTGTCTGCTTTGAGTAGCAATGTAAACCCTCACGTCCTTCTGGGCAGGGGTGAAGCATTGCAACATTTTGCTCCTTGTTGGTAAAGGTAGTGAGGAATTGCCTGGCCTGTTAAATAAAATTCTTGGACTGGTTAAAAAAAAGGTGTCCCCTCCAAAAAAAAAAAAGGCCCATTCTTACATCAATGGAAAGTGTATTTTGTGCAAAAATATTCATTTTTGTGCAAAATTGGTTTTGAGATGAAATACACTATTTATACAAAACGTTAATCAATTATCCCATTTGTCTTAGGTGGAAACAAAATGGCACTGCTAGCACAAGGCAGTAGAGATCACATGACAGGATGAACAAGTAAATAAGGCTGCCATTGTTGGGTCCCTTGATGGCAGGGGCTGCTATGTGGAGGGACAGCTGGCTTTTGGACTTGTGACAGGATCTTGTTCCTGTCTCCATTTTGTGTTGCCTCTTGTATGTCAACAGTCATTAGTCATTCTGGTTTGGGGGTTGCCTGCATGCGAGTACGGGCCAATTCCACAATTGGGCTGCAGGTCAATGATGATTTCCCTTAGTGGTCCCAGTTGGGAGGTGCAGGTGACAACAAATAGTATTCTGGCATTTTCCTTGTTGGACTTGTCTGGTAGCAAGTTGTTCCTGGGCACCAGTCTGGCTTGGTCCATTAGCTTTTTTTACCACCTTGAATGGGAGTTGTAATTTAAGAAATGCCAACTCAACAACTTCAATAACTTTTATCCTTCCACCAAACTAAGCCTATATTAGCGCACACAACAGATACTATTTCCAAATGCCACAGTGGAGCTGCGCCAGAGACATCAGCACTTTGAAACCCACCAAACCATTACACATTGTACACATTTATTTTATTTATTTATTTATTTTCTTTATATCCCTCCTATCTGGTCGGTTAAGATAGGCAGCTAACAACATGAAAATAAAACAGTAAATATATATAAAACAAGTTACATAAAATAGACATTACAAAAAAAAAAAAAACTAAGAGCAAAACAATGGGGAGTAGAGAAAGAGGACATCAGGGATTGACTGGAGGAAGGCCTGCCAAAACATCTATGTTTTTAGTTGATTTTTAAAGATATCCAGCGAGGGAGCCACGCGAAGCTCAGGAGGTAGGTTGTTCCAGAGGCGAGGAGCTACCGCCGAGAAGGCCCAATTTCTTGTCTTTTCCTTCCGGGCCTCCCTTGGCATTAGGCTCCTCAGCCTCACCTCCTGGCTCGCACGAGTGACCTGGGTAGATTTTGGTGGGAGTAGGCGTTCCGCCAAGTATCAAGGCCCTAAACTGTTTAGAGCTTTATACGTAAGCATCAACACTTTGAAGTCGATGCGGAAGCGGATGGGCAGCCAATGCAATGCAGCCAGAGTGGGAGAAATATGCTGGTATTTTTTCACTCCACTAAGTAGTCTGGCCACCGCATTCTGCACCACCTGAAGTTTCCGCAACAGCCTCAAAGGCAGCCCCACATAGAGCGCTTGAGATTACGAGCGCTTGCACCAAGGTAGTGAGTGTCCCAACACCGAGATAGTACCACAACTGGGCTATCCGCCTAAGATGAAAAAAGGCGGTATGGACCACCGACGACACCTGAGTTTCCATAGTGAGCGCCGGGTCCAGATGGATCCCCAAGCTGCAGACCCCATCCTTGGTGGGAAGAGTCACCCCCCCAAAAGAGAGGGAGTTTCCCAGTCCCCCAGCTGTGGGGGCACCCACCCTCAGTACCTCCGTCTTGTCCGGGTTCAGCCTCAGCCCGTTCTCCTGCATCCATTGCAGTACAGTCCCCAGGCAGCGCTGTAGGGACAGAACAGCATCTCCTGCAGTTGTAGGAAATCTTACATGACTTTAATATTCCTCATTGATCATAGAATTATCATAGAAAAGTGAATTTGGAAGAGGCCTACAAGGCCATCAAGTCCAGCCCCATGCTCAATGCTTGTTTAAGGTTTGTTGAGAGATCCTACATTGATAACAACGAGAAATTAAGTAAGCATTTTTTTCCATCCCTGGCTTTGGGTAGTTTGTACTTAGGTTCATGGCATATTGCTCAGACAACAGTGAGATGCTCCAGAACTACTAAATTCGGAGCCAAGCCAGGCCAACAGGACCAAAATAAATAAATAAATAAAATCCAGATTTCTGGTATACCTCTTAATTGGCCAAAAGATCTGTCTCTAGAATCAGCCTAAGTATAACTTTCTATATGTTCCTCCCTGTCATGACTCTCGGGGATGCATGTGCATGCACGTACCAAGCCAGTGTGTAAGTGCAGCAAAGATGCTTTATCTACCAGGAAGAAATGGACAGAATGTTCCACTTGGGCTTACGCAATGAACAGGGACTTCAGCCATTTTGTGAGAAGGAATCTGCTGAGTAAAATAAAGGACAGAGACATTTAGCGTCATGCCTTTGGGAAGATGTCAACTTCTGTCTGTCATAAAATAAGCTTATGTAAAAATGGAAATCATTTCTGCCAAAAAACCAAAGCTGAGTGTGTATCTAAGTGTATATGATGGTTTTATGCATGGGGAGTGATCTACCATGATATTTTTTCCTAAGGGAACAATAGCATCCAAAACATAGCTTGTTAACACATCTTAACAATTTCGCAAGAACACAGTTCTGCTGCGATGTCAAGGAACTTTTGCTGTACATGAAAAATTAGTTCCTCATTCTCTCAGTTTCATACCTGGTATTCATATTCAGTAAAAGGCAATAGCGTGGCATCCTTGAAGGAACTAGATGAGCCATTAAAAACAAGTACTGGGGCTTCTTGATTGGGTGTCATCTGTCTTCTGTAAAGCTCATAATATAAGATCCTTCCATTTGGCTGCTTTGGGCCTGTCCACACAATGGAAAGCTCAGACTGAAAACCTTCATGGCTTGATTGAGCATCTATGAGAGGGGCTGGCTGTCCTTCAGGGGATGCTTCAAGAGTCTGAACTGAAGCCCATTCACTGGAAGTGCAACCCTGGAGTGTACAAGCTTGCACTTGGACCTCATACCTTTAGAAATGCAAAGCATAAGTAGGTTAGTAAAATGCAGACTATAAATGTAAACATTGCACATAAAGGTAGCATAAAGCAGTGGTGCTTTAAAAGGCAGTCATTGTCACACCCCTTGCCCTGTATTTAGATAAGCAATGGTTTCTTCCAAAATGAATGTACAGCACAGGCAAACTGGAAGAGTCCTCTGCCACAATGACTTGCTCTGAGGATCCATGACCTACATGTGGGCTGATTCTCTGCCATGGCAAAGTTCTCTAGAACCTGCAATATCCCACTATGTAGTTTCAGTTCAACTATTCCCAGTTGAAGCATTTTTCCACAGACAGAGAGGGATCAACTGGTCTCTCCAGAATGTTCGCCATTCTTCCAGCACAGGTGATGGAATCTCTGCTACCTCACATACTCCAGAACTTCTGATGCTGTCTTGGGTCTGCTTAATGGCATGCATGAAGGCCCAGAATCCCAAATGCATGTGTTGAGCTCTTGTGTGAATGTGCTTTCTCATTTAAGCTAATAATGGGGAACACACATACACTTCCTTTTGCCTTTTCATGGATGGGGGGGCAGCTCTAGCATCAGAGCACATGTGTAACCTTTGTGTACATTTTGGTGTACCAATGGCTGCAAGGTATCAGTAGGACAGTGTTTATTATGAACACTGTACTTCAAACATAATTGGTGTGATAATTTATGGGTCCGTTGGTTTGGAAAAAAGTATCTTTATCAAAAGACAATTTATCTAGATGCTTTTCTCAGAAAACCTATTAGATGGGTTGTAATTAAAGAATATACATGAAAATCTTAACCCATGTCACTAAAAGCTAGATGAAGTAATCAGATCTTAGCACATTTCTTTTTTTAAAAAAATCATGCTTTAGTATGAGCACAATAAGCTCCAGTAAAGAACAAGACTCTGTAATCTAACCCTTATAACCTTTGATTTTAATCCATCTATTATTAAATTAAAGGCTTCTCCAAATGGGACATTTGTTCCATTACCAGTATTCTCTGCTTCTGTTTTATTGGTAGTTTCTGAGGTATGAATTCTAATGCATCCCTCATCTCCCTAGTCCCTTGTCCATGTATTGTTACTTCTTGAGACCTCTCTCTGCCCTGCTACCACTGCTACCACATCCTATGACAAGAAGGGTTTGCACTGAAGTTTCCTAGCATCCCCTTTTCCTGTAAGGACCCTGGTGGCACAGTGGTTAAACTGCAGTACTGCAATGAAGACTCTGCTCATGGCCTGAGTTTGATCCTGGCTTGAAGCTTGGCCCAGCCTTCTATCCTATAATTAGATTGTAAGCTAGCTGAAGAAAACTTTAATCATTATGGAACGGTATACAAGCAGCATGGTAAAGGTTTCCCTTGACATTTAGTCCAGTCATGTCCAACTCTAGGGCATAGTGCTCATCCCCGTTTCCAAGCCATAGAGCTAGCGTTTGTCCGAAGACTCTTTCCATGGTCACGTGGCCAGTGTGACTAGACACAGAACACTGTTACCTTCCCACCAAGGGGGTACCTATTTATCTACTCGCATTTTTAATGCTTTCGAACTGCTAGGTTGGCAGGAGCTGGGACAAGTGACAGGAGCTCACTCCATCGCATGGATATGATCTTACGACTGCAGGTCTTGTGACCTTGCAGCACAGAGGCTTCTGCAGTTTAACCCGCAGGGCCACCATGTCCCTCTGAGATGCACAGTTCAATTTAATACTTTATTGTTCAGCAGTTAAATCGTGTCTGACTCTTCGTGACCCCATGGAACAGGCCCTTCTGTCTTCCAGTGCCTCCCGGAGTTGGGTCAAATTCATGTTGGTAGCTTTAATTTAGCTTTAATTTAATACTTAGGCACTGCCTATATTTATACTCATACAGTTTAGCACTTAGAAAGTAGGAAAGTTATTGACAAAAACTATCTTCTAACTGATGGGCTAATCATGTTTTAAAGGTTTCATTGACAGGACTCATGTACAAAAGAAAGAAACATTGATTGACTAGGGAAGTTCAGATGAATTGCAATCTAGTATCTTTTACAATGTATAATCTAATATATCTCTGGATCAAAGCTGTCTACAACTGTTGTCTCTTGTTGCCAAGATAAGAAGCAATCTCAGTGACTTTGGAAATTATGTTATTAGTAGGATATTTCAGGCAATAACTACTACTCTAACATTGCCTTCTAAGATGCAGTCGAGATAAGAACCAGGAGTACCTTACTGCTCTTGCCATGCTATGCCAGTTGTCACACACTGCTAGATTCTATACTTCTTGGAAACTCCAGCATCCTTATTCCCACCAATCAGTGGAGCCAAATTTTAGGTATTCAGCCTTTTAGAGCTTCTCAATCATCCAGGTTGGCTAGATATTCCATAGGCTATTACTTTATATTGCATGTAGACAAAGAAGATGGCACTCTAGTTATCAAGGACTGACTAGTTTTGGCTTGGAACTTCTTGCTGACTCCTATTTTCTTCTGATCAGAATGATGTGCTATATTCACAGCATGCGATAACTTACCTGTGATACGCTTTTAGTTCTGCCAAAGTGTAGGATCTCCTATCAAAAGAAGCATGAGACGAATCTAAGTGAACAGTCTTTTTGTCTGGTTTAATAGGTTCCCGAATAGTGATTGTATAATTGATGATATCACCATTGACTTTTGCTGGAGGATCCCAAGTCACCAAAATTGCTTCTGAGGACCATGCCTGCAATCTAGGAGGTGACATACCAGATGGGGCAGAAGGGTTAGTTCTAGTTTTAGATAGAGGACTAGTAATGCTCCCTTGACTATTGTTTGCAGTAACAGCATAGCTGTATTCTATTCCTGGAGCTAGCATGAAGTCATGGTAACGAGTTTCTAGGCCTGAATAAATCAGAAGTCCATTTCTCCTCAGCTCATACACTCGGATTTTACCATTTGGATTTGCAGGAGCCTTCCATGTGATTTCTATTGATTCTGAACCTGTCACTGCCAACATGGGGGCATCTATGTTGAGGGGCGGAGCTTCCATTGTCCAAATAGTTTTGGAGGCACTATTTGTACAACCTCCATTAGTGCAGGCAACCAATGTGATGTCATATTTAGTGTAAGGCTGCAGATTGAACACTGTCCTGAACAAACTTTTCCCAATATAGAGCTCTTCACCATTTAATTTTAAGATGTATCTAGTGATTTCTCCATTTTGGATTGTAGGTGGCAACCAAGACAAGTTCATTTGGGTAGACCCTAGATCCTCTAGCATGGGAGGGTTCACAACGGCTGGAGCTGCCTCTAGGGTTCGTATGCTGGTGTGGTCACTGGTGGAGCAGCCTCCCATTGTGCAAGTGGTTACCGCATAGAGGTATTCTGAATATGGGAATAACTCTTCATCGGTGTAATTTAAAGTTGCAGCATCAAAGCTAAAAGGATAGGGGACACCATTTCTGTGAAGCCGATATGATTGCAGAATGCCATTTGGTTCTTCTGGGGGCAACCACAAAATTAGTATTTTGTCAGGGCTTCCTGGAATATGCTTCAGAATAGGTGCCGCCAAGCCTTTTGGAGCAGCCTGGCTGGTCTTTGCAACTGACCAAGAGCTATCAGTATAGCCTGCTGAATTCCAGGCACGTATTTTATATTCATAACGAGTCCATGGCTGCAGATCCTGAGCGCTGTATACAAATGTATTCTTCTCAGTGTTATATTCCGTGAAAACAATTTTCTCTTCTTCTGTTGTTGAGTTTTTCCCTGAAGCATTTCCTTTCGCACATCTCTGAATAACTTCATAGCGTATTATTTTTCCATTTGAATTAATTGGCTCAGACCATCTCACCCCAATGCTGGTTGCACTCACTGACTGGATTACGGGTGCCATTTGAGAAGCAGGAGGGGCTTCATCAGTCCAGACTGGCTGGGGCACGGAGCGAGTGCAGCCGGCTACAGTGCAGGCTTCAAGTACTAGGGTGTAAAGAGTGAAAGGCTCAAGGCGTCTGAAGAGGAATTGACGAGACAAGCCACTATATTCCAAGTTATCGTCATTGAAAATATTGTACGTCTGGAAGGAAAAGAAAGTCGACACATTACTAGTAAGACATTAAAAGCACAGCAGTACAATTCAGACACAGATACCTTACAATTCAATAAGCCCCATGCAGCCCGCTAATTATGCATAGCAAGCTGTGTAAAAAATACTGCTTTTGTTGGAAGTGTAAAAACAGGGAGAGTGTCAAATACCCAGCAGGCCACAATGAATGGACCCTGGAATGCTTTCAGTTTGGTGTATGCCCATGCTTTTTCCCTATGATCCACCTTCAATTTCTGCCCAAAAGTTCAGTGTACCCCAAAGAGATATTAAGTTTATTTTTTCTAAATGTTAAAAGGAGAACTGCAGTACATCTAAAGAGGATCTGTGGAGAAAAGACATGGGCTGAGCATTCAATCTGAACTGGGAAGACTTGGCTTGAAGTTTCTCATATAAAGCTTCGTGGCTGACGTTTTGGACCAAACTTGTATTTGGTCCAAAAGGAATTAATCTTCCCTTTCCCCTTATGTGGAAGTGGTCTACACGGTATATAGTCCATTCTGTGTTGAGCATAGGTTATTATATGACAGGACATTCTGGAGGTCATTCATTTATAGGGTCAACATGAGTCGCAGGCAAATAATAACTATGTTGAGCTTCTGGAAGCAAAGTTGCTCACAATTGTTAGCTTAGCCGACATCATAGACTAGAATTTGCAACTGAATGCATATATTATTGGTTTCACTGGGATTAATCACATGGAGATGTTGAAGGATAGAGAAAAACTATCATGTGAAACTACATGTTATATTGTGCGTGCATTATTATAGAACAGGGGATCTACAAATTGCTACTTTTAGTTAGAGGGGCAAGCAATCATCACCAATGAGAAGGGACATCAAACATTAGAGAGAATGCAAAGAGTGATCTCTTGTCCCTTCTTTTGAACTACAAGGAAGCTTGATGTGATCAACAGGAGGGACTCCACCTGGTGAGAAGCCTGATGGAGTATTTAGTCTCACCTCTTTTTAGCAGAAAAAGGCAGCACCTGTGTTCCACTTCATGTTGCACAGTAGTGACATGGGTGGCTCACTTGACCAGGAGACAGGTGTCCCATTCTAACATTTCAGAGGTCACCCCTCTACACCAGTCATGAATTATCACTGAACAGTGGGGCTAAAGAAGGCACTAGATCACTCTAGAGGCCATATAAGAAGGAAGCACTTCCTAAGGAAAAGGGCAGATAAGCGACCAGAGGCAACAACAATGATCATTCACCCACTATCAAAGTTACCCGATTTACCCCTGCAGCTGAAAGAAAGGAGAGCTAAGCACTGTGTTACTGCATGGAACAGTTGCTGCCTCCTTTTGCTTGCCCTCATTTTCAAAATATACACAAGCAAACTTTCTAGAAAGTGCTTATTATAAACATGTACTTTCACCCCAAGCAAATAAGACAAGACAATAAATGCAAAGAAATTACAATCCTTTATGCTGTGTAATGATCTACTCTAACAGCAATTCCAGCTGCTGGAGCTTTGAAATTCCAGTCATGGAGCTCAACTTCAATTAATGGAACTTTAGGTATGATATGATTAATAAAAAGTATGATACACATCTGGATTGGCTTCTTAGCACATACCTCCTCTGCCCAAAAGATGTAGGTGAAGGAAAAATGGGTAAATGCTTGCACTCAAGGTTGCATTTAGATAAAAGGAGGTGGTGATTCTGGATAGTTTCTTGCAAATACTGTGCATGATGCCTAGTCTTACATGGTACAATATGGTGCTCCTCCTCCAGCCTGCATTCATGATGTCTTTGCAGACTCATAAAATAAATTTTACCTTGGGTTTTCAGCAGGAATATTCCTTTTATTTTTATATATCACTCTGGTCAAATGAGATTCTAGGTCTGGATTACCTTAATGTCACCATTGGGCTTCGAAGGCTCTGCCCACTTAAGCAACAGTGCCCTGCCATTCTCTTTCTTTTCCACAGTGAAGTTGCTCAGGCCACTTGGAGAAGCTTCCAGGGTGCGCACGGAAGTCCATGGACTTGTAGCATGCCCAGCATTGTTGACCGCTACAAGGTGGATGTGGTAGGTTGTAAACGGCTTCAAACCAAATAAGTGAGTGTAATGCAAATTGCCCTGCAAGAGAAAGATGGTTATAAACACTGTCCCATTGCTACAACTTCCATTCTTAATGTTCTGCTATCTTTCCTCTAAAGGGCTCAAGACTCTGTACAATATCATCTCAATTTTATTCTCAAAACCACCCTCTTAAGTAGGTTGGACTGGTAGTGAGAGACGTAGTGTGGTATTACTTGGGACTACCTTGCCCCTCCTTGGATGCACATCTTAATCTAGTCAATGGGTTTGGGTGTGTCCTTGAAGCTGAGAGCAATGCCATCAGGAGGCCAGACTCCATTATGAGCCTGAACTCTTAGCACAATCACCCAAGGTGGAATGGTCACAGCCAAGACACCAGACTAATATGCATCAGTCCTCTTCAAAGGTAACAGCCACATCAGCAGAAGATAATGGATAGTTCCAATGTTGATGGAGATGGCAGCTATGGGCAGCAGTGGTAGCTGAAGATCACACTGGAGGAGGAAGCAATGTTAATGACTTTGCTAGTATTGTGCAAAATATAAACCAGTATTTTCCTTACTATGAAACCCCTATGATAAGACAGTCCAAAATCAAGAGAGAGTGTAGAAAGATGAGACCCCAGTTGAAAATCACAGAATCAGCTACTGGGGAGGAGCAGTGGGAGTAGAAAGATGAGACCCCAGTTGAAAATCATAGAAGCAGCTACTGGGGAGGAGCAGTGGAAAAGTACAAATAGTAGTGTCACTAATGATGCAACCCAATTCAAGATGAAAGGACCTCTAGTGGCTGATAAGCACTGAAGTGAAAGGAAAGTCTGATGCAGCACAACATATACAATAGAAACATGGAACATGAGAAGTATAAATCAAGGTAAACTGGAAACCGTAAAGCAAGAAATGGAATGTACCATTTTAACCTGTGTACTCTTCTCTGTCGTCCCCTTCTCCTTTTTCATTCACACTTTCCTAACATCAGGGTATTTTATTTATTTATTTATTTATTTATTTATTTATTTATTTATTTATTTATTTATTTATTTATTTAACTTATATGCCACCCACTATACCCAAAGGTCTCTGAGCGGCTCACAACAATTAAACATTGTGGTGCTTGGTGTCAGTGAACTAAAGTGGACTGGACTGGGATGTGTTTAGTCAGATAACTACAAAGTATTCTACTCAGGAACGGACAAATTCAAAAGAAATTGAGATTGAGGCAAGATGTAGCACAGGCATTTAGAAGCTGAACAGAATTGAACAAGCTTTATTGTTTAAAACTATAGATCACTACAATATCAACAGCAACACAACCCTGTATATCTATACATAAATTCAAGATGCCATAACTTCCCTTCTTTCTTAAGATTTTTGATGCCTGGCATGTATTTTCTTTGCAGCCAAAGCAAATTTTGCTACTTGATAGGCAGTAGTTAACTCCCTATTTTAGGAGAAGAAAACAGGAAAATATAATCTGTTTTCTTCACTCCATAAGACGCACAGACTTTCCACCCCCCTGTTTTGTGGGAAAAAGTGTGTCTTATGGTGCGAAAAATACGGTAACTCCCTACGCCTACATCCCTTGCATTTAGGGGCTATAATGCAAGTTCTGACCAAATAACATCAGTCAGACTCTGTGGAAAACCTACCATCATAAATATCATTCAGACCTATCTTCCAACTACAGATGCTGAATAAGATGAAATGAACAGGACATTTTGGAGGTTGCTCATTCATTGGGTCAGCAAAACCCGGAGGTGACTTGATGGCAAATAACAACAAGAAATAAGCAAATAAGTAAGCAAGTAAATATTGTTTACACACACTCAGATAAATGGAAAATGAGACAACGTTGCTCATTTTCACAAGAAGCAAGGGAAACTTGAAGATGGAGGGTGAAGTCTTGGGGGTCAATTTCAGAGTGAACAGACATGGAAAATGATTGAGAATAATACATTCTGTAAACATTCATCACATCCTTGTAAGGCAGTAGCACCTCAAATATATGTAAGTTAATGAGAAGGCAAGGCCACTCCCTCACCAACACACATTCAAGGTGTACAAACTCTATGTGCAGTATATTATAGAGCAGTGGGTCCCACTCTTTTTGACAACAGGGACTGGTTTAGTTGAAGATAATTCACCCAAGGACCTGGGTGGCGGCGGCAGGTGTCTGTGCGGGTGGGGGGACAGGTGGGCATCTGTGTGTGAGAGGCATGGGGTGTGTGTCCATGCGTCCGAGGGACTGGTTTAGTTGAAGATAATTCACCCAAGGACCTGGGTGGCGGCGGCAGGTGTCTGTGCGGGTGGGGGGGCATGTGGGCATCTGTGTGTGAGGGGCATGGGGTGTGTGCCCATGCGTCCAGTGTGTGTGTGTGTGTGTGTATGCATGCATGTGTGCATGCGTGCGGTGGGTGGGAATGCGCACACACACTCTTTCAGTCCTCAAAAATCTGTCTTGGTGGCCCAGTCCTTCCAAGGCCACAGACCAGTCCCGGTCCGTGGCCCAGGGGCTGGGGGACCCTGTTATAGAGGAAACATGAGTGAGATGTTCTTCAGAGGATAAATTTGTTTGTTAGGTTTTAAAAATAGATTCGATTCCAGGGGGTCTTTTCCTTTTTTACAGCAGGGGGAAAAGTGCAGTACAATATGTGTGTATAATTTATGCACACACCCAGCACCACTGCAACACAAAGTGTCTGTCTGTGTGCATTAAAACAATAAATAAATTCAGGATTTGGGAGGCAAGTGCTTACTTAGTCTTCCCTCCACAGATACGTATGTGAGCACAGGATAGTACCCTGAAAGCTATACAGAAACGGATTAAAAAGCCTACTACAAATAAAATGCACATATCTTTTTGAAATGCTCCATAAAAAGTGTTACATATATGAGAGCAAGATTCATGCGGTTAACATTTTGTCTGTCATCACAGAGTAGGAGCCCTATTGCTGAGAATCTGCTTCTACCTCAACTCTGTTTTTGAAATGCTCCATAAAAAGTGTTACATATATGAGAGCAAGATTCATGCGGTTAACATTTTGTCTGTCATCACAGAGAGGAAGCCCTATTGCTGAGAGGCTACATCTGCTTCTACCTCAACTCTATGCTGGACATGTAATCATTTAAGAATTGTGTTGCAAGAAAATATCCTAGATCTTTCATCCCCAGCCTCTTCATTTTTACTGAATGCTTTTAAGTATGTTAACATTAGATCAAGGGGAAGCAAATAACCAGATTAGTGAATTCTACTTCATTTTGTTCCATTCCATTTCTTTTTGCTTCACTGTGTTTTACTTTACTTGCAGCCAGAGATTCACTACCTGGAATAAAGTACAAGATAGTGGATTGTTTGGTCTGGACAACAGTGTCTGCCTGTGCTCTTGGTGCTTCTAAGTACACAAAACCAGTCTTTTGGTTTCTGTCTCACAATTAAGCTCCCAGTTCTGTCACACAACTCCTGCTTTTCACCCCGAACTTTCCTTTTAAACTCAGCTTTCTAGTCCCTATTGTTGTTGATCAACCAGGCACGAGGAAATCCTTGGCAGATCACCAGTGAATGCACCAGTAGATCTATATCCTGGATATTCAGAGATCAAGTTGCATTTCCCCTTCTACTTCCATGGTGCTCAGGCCTATCTCAATACCCTGGATTTCTGTCAAGTGGTTAAAGCCAATGTTTCTCATCTTTTAAATATTTAAATATATGTTAAGCTACCAGACTTGTTTTTTTTTTCCGAGAAAAAATAGTAATTTCTTTTTTAAAATATTAAAAGTTAGATGATAAATATTTAAATAGTTATTTTCCCACAACAATGAGCTTTCCTTTTAGACAAATATAGTGCAGCATTTGAATGCCCATTCAGAATATTAAAACTATGATATGCCATCAGAACTGATTAGAAATGCACTTTTCAATGACAATTATTCTTCCCCCCATCCCCCATTAAACAGGGCAAACACTGGCGAGATTAATAATGAAAACGGGGGAGGAAGAGTTGAAAGAATAGTTATTGTTAGGAATTCCTAGCCATTCATGTCAAGAAAAGCATGAGTTTAATTAAACTTATAAAAAGTACTATAGCCATCAGATACTGAGATCAGAGACCTCAGTTTCTGATGGTGATACTAAACACATTTACCCAGAAGTAACCCCAATGGGTCTAAAGGGAGTTACTAAAAAATACGTGGTGTACGCAGGATCACAATAAAAGTCACAGGGTTTGTTTGTGTTGATGAGAACTATCTGACAAGGGCTATATATCTAATAGTCTCAACTGGAGGAATTTACTGAATCAATGGGACTTAGAGAAGTGCTGACTTCTAGCTGGGATTAAACACTAGATTGTAAAAATGTACAGGTGCCTTAAGAATTATTCCTTATATGTCTGATTTGGTGATGGTGATGCATGCCTTAGTTCCATCCCAATTGGATTATTGTATACACTCTACATCGGGGTGACTTTGAGGATGGTGGAGAAGTTTCAGCTGGTTCAAAGTGTAACAGCCAGGTTGTTGACTGGAGCTGGTTACAGGGAGCATATAACTCTCTTGTGACAATAGCTTTGCTGGCTGCGTCTGTTTTTGAGCCAAATTCAAAGTACTAGTTATGGCCTATAAAGCTCTAGATGATTTGGGTCCGCTCTGCCTGAAGGATCATATTTCACTGCATCAGCCTTCTTGGCTCCTAAGATCTTCAGGGGAGGCCTTTCTAAGTTCCACTGCCTTGGATTTGATGGGAATATAAAGCAAAGCAAAGAGTGCTGCTTATATACTGCCCCATAGTGCTTCAAGCACTCTCTGGGCGGTTTACAAGTTAATTATGCAGGCTACACAGCAAGCTGGGTACTCATTTTACCGACCTCGGAAGGATAGAAGGCTGACTCAACCTTGAGCCGGCTACCTGGGACTGAACCCCGGGTCGTGAGCACAGTTTTGGCTGCAGTACAGCGGTTTAATGAGAGCCTTCTTTGTGGCTGTTCCAAAGTTGCTCCAAAAAGATCTACCATTTACCCCCAGGGCGGAGCAACACAACAATGT